GCTAGTGCTTCAGACGTTTGAAGGACTCTGAGTTTGACAGGCTTCGGTAAAAAATTACTGACCCGATAAATAATTGAAAAGGAATGGTTTATAATGGCACTCTGACTAATTTGCACTAAATGAGCCAATATCGAGCTGTTCACTTTCTTCACTAGACCTTTGCTTAGCCACGCTAGGAGGTGTTCACGGAGACGAAAATGTAAATTCCTGGAAGTTTGATCAATATAACCTGCTCCGCAAGAGCAGTCGGACTGATAAGTGTAAAATGAGGTGGTCATTCTAGATAATTCATCTTTTAGCTTTGGTGTCATCAATGGGTGCGTAGAAAACATTAATCATAGTTCTCCGGCGTCGAATGATATATGGATTGTTGTGTAATCCTTGAATTAATATTTTGCTAGCAGTAACCACTCTGAATTGTAGGCGCATGAACATGGATTTCTTATTCACTGTTTGTAATTCTCCTATTCTAACCTTCGTGATTATACATTTGGGGCATCCGTTCTTCCTAAGTGTGTTACACAAGGCGTTTAGCCCTTCTTGGACGAACCAATCAGACATAAAATAACAAGTCTTAGATTTTGGCGCGAAATTCATTTATACATTTTGCTAAATAGCGTTTTGGGATTATAGCTGGTATCAGTTCGTGACGAAAACCCTAAATCTAATTCATAAACCTAACCCTCAACTGTAAATCATAATTCTGATTCCTGACAACGGATTATAACCTTAATTTAGTCCTGGTTAGTCGGTGGACATTCTCATGGTCACTTTAGCATCGCTCAAAGATCATCAACAAATTAAAGTCTCGCCAAAAATTCTACAATTTACAACTAAAAGATTGGTTATATGATCTACACATTCACGTTGACCTAAATAATAGGATTTTTTTCTACAAACGAAAGAAAAACACCTTGCACTTTACCACATAAATAAAAAAACAATCTTCAGTGTCTATTGATCATCAACAGTTATTAGATTTGTTTATTTCACCAACAAATCACGACTGCAGAAGAAATCACAAATGAATTCATATGGCAACATTTTCACTCTAGATATATTTCCAAATTTTAAATGTTTTTTTCCAAGGTTTTCAATCATAAAAAATAATTTCTAGGTACACATTACTTGATTATAGTTTGACCAAATGAAAACCGCCAGTTGAAATTAAAAAGAAAATCGAAGTTATAGGTTAGAGTTTAAACATGTAACATAATGTATTTATTATTTTATTATAGGGTGCGTATTATTTCGCTGATATTCAAGATTGTATTTGATCAATTGTTGCTGTCACGTAGGTTCCTTAGATGGATTTGACACTATAGTCTAAAATTACAAGCTGAAGGCGACTGTGTGTAGTTCATTCCTTTCCTTTTCAATTTAAAAAGGCAGTTTTAAGACTGATCTATATCAATGCATTTGGGCGCCTATCTTAAAAGTTTTATCAGTCCTGATAGGTTAGTGTCTGACGAGATCTCTGAAAAATCTCTTGACTCTTGTATCACTTGTGGCATAGATGGGATATTCATCTAAAAATTAAAGGATGAACATATTGAGTAGCAATGTCTTTTGCTCTAGTTTATAGCTGTGAGGCGGGATTCTTAAAAATAGAGGGCATTTGTAGTCTACTACTATTTAAACATAGATCCTTTTGATGCATTGTTTTTATATGTATGGCGCCATCGAGTGACCAGGGGTACTAAAAAGGATGGTAAATCGGTAGACAAAGTAGCGAATCTTTATGAAATGAGGTAACTGGGACATGGATTATTATGTACACCCAGCCACAGCCTACCTCAATGAACAGTTTTAGGTGATGTAGAAGTATAAAAAAAAGCGAAGGGCAGTCAAAGCAAAACTTGATATATATATGAAGTCATTAACTCATGAACTTAGACTGGGTTAGGGTGCATCCGATTATCTTGATCAACGGTAAGAGATGATATGACTCATAATCTGTTACAACGTAGCAAATGCATTCACTCTTAATCTTAAAAGGTCTAGATTCCACTAACAGTGACTATCCAAAATACAAACAACATGCAAATCAATAAATGAAAATAATTTGTTTTAATGACATTTAGTCTTAACACTGGACTATGATAATTTAAAACGGTAATTTAAACAAAAGTGGGTAAAACAGAGAATAATTATCATTTCAATCTGATAGATTTCTTAGTTAAATTTTAAACAAAAGAACCAGTCCTTTTTTTCAATAAATGAAAATGACTATTATTAATGAGATTTTTGCTTGGTTTTAATCTAGTGAACAAAAAACAGCACAATGACAAATGAATCTTGAAAAGAAGGAAAGAGAATGAATAAAATACAGAAGAGTAAAGTATAATTAATTGACCAATGCATACCTTATATATATATATATATATATATATATATATAGAGAGAGAGAGAGAGAGAGATTATTTTAATATCTACGAGGAATTATTGAAATTCACATAATCTCGCCGACAGTTAATATTTCACTGTATACAAGAAACCTCTGAATTTGTTAAATTACAATGAATATGAGTTCAGATGTACGTTATATATATTCTACAGATATTTCTCTCTGTAGTGGTTTTTTTTCTTATAATGAACATGATTCTGTACTGACCAACTGCTATATGACTGTATTGAATGATACAATAAATATAATGATAAGTGACATAGACTCGTACGGATCTCTCCTTGATTGTTATGTGAAATATCGACAACTGAAGGGGTGGATAAGTGCTACATAGTATTTTCTTTCTTTTACTACTGATAATGGGTTCTGAGAATTTATAGAGGAGTTTAATGTAACCCTAGTACTATCCCACTAAGAGTCCATTTCTCAGCAGATTTAATTTAAGCACTTTTGTCAAACTAATGAAAAGTAAATTTCATAGTCAAAAGATAGGAAATTATGTATATATATATATAAGCTAGGTAATATTCCGATGAAAATTCAAACATTCCATTGACAAATCCATAAAAGTATGTACGTAAAAAAAGAAACATTCAGCTCTATTGATATTTATACCGTAAAACAGAGTGTTAATAAAGATTTATGAATCCAAACACTTTATTTTATAGTATACTATCAGAAAACTATAGAGTTTAAATGATTGTGTTCAGGATGATCAGTGCCTACTGCAAATAACTACAGATAATGTGTTTAATTAAGGAAAACCCCAAGGTTTTAAGTTCAGACCCTCACAGTATAAACCAAAGTCAGTTGTTTGCCTTTTACAAAACCGTATAAAGACATAATTCTGCACTTCAAATAATGGAGACAAGGAGGGAAATGTAAGTGCGTCACTTCAAGGTTGGATATGTACAGAAAATCGAGTGTATTTATCGAGTTAGATTTGACCTTAGTCTCCTAGGCCATTATAGATACAGTATGGGCAATAATCTAATCAAAAAACGTGATACGCAACCTCTAATTTTACTAGGTGTTTTTGAAAAGCTTTTATTCAATGTTGATTGGACAATAAATTTCCTAGGCTTCGGAAAAAATTCGTGGACTCCAAAATAAATGAAGACTAATCAACATGAAATTGTTCACTTGTAAATTTAACAAGAATAAATTCACAAAATGAACCTCTTTACGTAATTAGAATGTTTGTAAAACTGACACGTTTCATATATTTCGCAGCTCCTCTTCCTCCCTGTCCCACTAATTAGGATAAAGAGACCAGTTTAATAATGGAAGCTTTATTGATGATGACCTCAGTATAATTGGAAATATATCTAAGGTAATTCACTGTATATCAGTTAAAATAATTCGAATTTATGAATTGAATATTTGAAACTAAACACAATTTATAGTGAAATTCAATGAGTAAAAGTTGGATGCCGGCTCAGTGGTCTAATGGTTAAGCGCTCGCGCGAGAGACTGATAGGTCCTGGGTTCGAATCTCATGGCGGGCGGGATGGTGGATAGAGTCCCATACTAGGACGAAACGGCCGTCCAGTGCTTCCAGGTTTTCCATGGTGGTCTAGCTTCAATTGACTCATGATTTCAACTATTGAAATTACTAGAATCTCCACAAAACCCCTTCTGATCATATTGAATAATTTAATATAACAGTCATTTATCAGAACTGATATTTACTTCTTTTTACATAAGTTGTATTTGAAGATTACATACTTTCCAACCAAAAAGATAAAAAGGAGAAATTAAACATACTACTGCCTACTAGGATAATACTAGTTGCAAGAAAAATATTAAATATAAAATCACTAAACAGAACAAAAGTAAACAAATCAATTTTTTTCAGCGTACAATCAAATCAAAGAAACTGTCATTATTCAATCTTTGTTTTATTAATGTAGAAATTGATAAGAAAATGAAATAAATGATTCAAATCATACAGAGATAACGATCGGAAAATGAAAAATAAGTTAGTGTGTTGTATCAAAGACCATGTATAAGCAACATTTTGTAATCTAATTTAAAACTAGATGGAGTTGAATAATTTTCCTATTCAATTATTTAATAAATTACATAGATTTTCCGTGTGGCACTTGTGTATGTGACTCCAGTAAGATCGTATCATCGAAAATTGCGTCACGTTCGCATGTCAGGATGATCATTTTGGTGGCTCAATATCTGACTCCAGTTATATCACATGATGATTGCTATCGAAAAATGCATGCCGTCAATCTTTGTATATAATCATCGACTTAAATCGCGTTAGTGAATAACCGAATTAAATAAGTCTAATACGAAAAAGAGGTTTGAATACGTATATTTCGTACAGTTGTTGGTCTGAACAGACAGTCAGGGAAACGAAGCGGAGAGAGCGAAGCGAAACGAAGTGATGCGCAGTGGCGAAGGCGTGTGAGCTAACTCGATTTAACTAAGCGTGAGTCGATATTTATAGTCAAACAAAAATAAGCTAGACATGTGATGAGTAGTATAAGCAATGTAAACTACATATTGTAGTTATGAAAGATGAACAATGTTACTTTTAAAAATGAAGACAGGCGATTCATAGCATTAATTAAAATATTAGTAAATTAACTGTCCATGAAAAGAATCTTGAAAAATGTGAGACGATCTATAAGAATAAAGTGTTTAAGTCGATTGTCAGTATAGAAACGTGATAGAGCAATATAGTGGATTGATCGAAGTTAGACTTGTACAGTAATTCGATTACAGCTCAGTGGTCTAAAGGCTAAGGGTTCGTGGGCGGGAACAGAATGTTCTGGGCTCGACTCCCGGTTGTGGGGTCATAGATACTCACTGCTGGGGAGTCCTCCACTCTAGAGAAACGGCTGTCCAGTGCTTCTAGGTTTTCAATATTCGTCTAGTTTAAGTCGGTTCGTGATTCTAGTGTGGTATAAGTTAGTGTTTTAAATTCGTTCGATAGTGATTTGAATAATAAAACGATATGGAATAAAAGATGTCTTAATCACTCATGTTCGGCATCATACAACACTGTACACCATAAACCTCTACCGAGAATAAACAAATCATCACGGCCAGTCGATAGATCCGTAATTAACAATTGACGTTACTATACTTTAATCAATATGTAATAATGGACGATTATACCCAAACATCACTGAAGAATGATTTACATGATTTTTGACTGACTTATTACTAATGGTTTGAACTTCGGATGTTGGACACATAATTTAGGTCAAGGTGATTGTATGATATACAGTCACTCTTTTATCTACATGTATACAGTAAAAATGTTATTTTCGAATAAAATGTGAAAGTCGTTTTCTTACAGCTATTTTCATTTCTCAACGTTTCAGTTAGCCAGCCATACGTGTATCTGTTCACGATGCTACACAACTTTCAGTACAGCGAGATAATAGAGTAGTAGAAAGAGTAACGGCATTAGTGACTGCAGAAAACATTAGGCATATGTAATATTGTTATACGGCGATGGATATTGGAAAAATCGGAACATTCGGAACCATTTTTCGGATTATTATTATTTTTTTTTATAATTTTTTGTGTGATTAGTAGACAACATTCTTGTTTCATTTCTATATGCTTCTTAATGTAAGATTTCAGTAAACCCATTAACCTTTGTTGAGCGTTTTAATATACCTGAGCTATTGCTAATTAATTATGTACTGTTTGCTCCGCCCCCCTACCACTTATGGTATGATTGTGCTTAACGTGTAATCCCTCGTTTGGTGTGTCGTGTAGTCAGTCATTTTAAATACATTAATGTATGCACTTTGAGCAACGAATGAATCGAGCACAACTGATAACTAATCTGCTTCCTATTTGTGTCTTCTAAATGGCCACAGGGTTAGAAAAGGTTTGAGGACTAATACGTGTTAACGCCTTGATTGTAGTTTATTGAACGGTTAGGTAATTCCTAAAATAGAAGGTCACTGGTCCTATTGACCACATACGTGACTTAATGGACAATCGGATTCCTGACTAGGGAATAGATCATTGGTTAAGACAATCATGGGGAATTCAATCAGGTAATGTGGACCTACCTATACGGCTCAGTTCAACAGTCAATGACTTGATGATCTGATGTCATGTTTTGGTTTGGCCGTCCCTAACTTTTTCCCAACATTTGGTGATTTTCATATGTAACATGACGCATTTGATTGTTGATTATTTAATGATGTATGAAAAAGCAATTAAGAAATGGACATGTTTGATGTAGCCAAAGTATGAAGGTAATACTATTCATTATACATTGGAAATCATGAATCGGTACAATACGTCACTCACTGGAACTGGATACCTTTTTACCAGTCTTAAAATTAATTATGTTAAATTTTCCAATGAATTAAAAGTATACATTATGAATAATGCCCCCGAATTCCCTGGTACGGCCAACAGTGGGGAGGGTCCGCTATCCCTCTCGAAATACTCTCACATGGCCACGCGTATATAGCCTCTGCCAGGGAATTCCTACTCACCGCCCTCTCACGCCACCGGTGTTGTTTACGAAATTGAGAGGACGAAAAGCGAATGTCCGGTGCTTTAACCGGGTTGGTGCACACGGAGAGTTCACCTTGGGGAGTTGGAAAACCCTGAATCCAAACCTACGGTGTACACAGGCTCCAGTATCCTTGTTATATCCGGTGAAGATTAAATTACAGGTAACTTCCGAGGACTATTCATGGACTAATATTCTATAAATATTCTTATTGTATAACTACTCAACAATTACACTATGTATATTTATATTCCTTTTATGATAAGCTTTATTTTGATCTATAATTTATTATTGTACGATTTACGGTTCTTAAGTTATGTTCAGTTTATTAGCTACTGCCTCCCACATTCACAGCCACTTCTTGGGCTTATTTGTGTACAAATATTATTTCCTATTTTATGGTACGTTGCGGTCTGTGTGATTGATATATAAACCAAGTATGCCTGAAATAAACGATCTGCTCTGATTCGGAAACTGGTGTTGTGTTCTGGACTCAAGTGGAAGGGCTCGTAGGATATAGGACCAATAAGGACGCTAAACTGCCCACACCGGTTGAACGTCATTGGTTGGCCTAGTGTGAAGATTCGTATAAGTCGTATTCGGATTGGTAGATAAGTCGTGTGATCGAAAAGTCAGACATCCAAGGTCATAACAATCCTGAAACCACGAATGGAGTATGAACCAATCGTTGGTCACTGGCTACCATGGGACTGCATCTCCTTACGACGCTCTACTGTCTTATGGAGTAGGCCTTTAGGTCGAAAACTTCGGGTGTGGCCCCCTAAGAAAACCACCTGCTTCGGTTTGGGCACCCGGGCAGTATCACAGCCCACACACATCACTTTCTTTTGGAAAGACTTGCATGGTTTTAGTGATACAGATATCAACTAAAAAACTATTGAAAGCAGCTGTCTCATCACAGTTTCCGAGATTTTAACACAATAATTCACTATAAATATGGTATGAAGATAGTTTAGTGAATTGGAACTCAGGTGTAGATAACCGACTTATTGTTTAATCCTAAATTAAAGAGTCCTTTCGTAAAATATGATAATCATACATCAAATATATTATTTGTACATCTTCATTTGCCCTTTACATGCTTCATAAGTCTATCAACTCTGTTGTTATTGCGACTGCTTTCAACTTCTCTTTCTGTTCTACTTAATTGGATCTTCTCAATTTTCTTCTGGCACGCATTCAATTACCGATCGGTGTTACATACTACTATATCTGTCAACATAAGTAGTATACACCACAATAGTTCTATATTACTGAGTGGTTTGAAATGAGGAACAAACCTGTGTTTGTTCTTCGATGAAATTCAGAATGTACATTGCTGTGAACCCCTTCACACGAAAATATCAGAATAAAGTACAAGTCTATTGTTACCTGATTTCAAATGCAGCGTAATTCGGCTTTATTTTTTTGATAAAACTTATATTTAAACACTTTTGCAAAACAAAAGACATCCGAAAAACTCTAAACATACTAAAACCCTTGCATCAAATTGAAAATCGCCACTTACTTAGTGAATTGACTAGTCCAGGTTCTATATTAAATAATCCACTAGTACGTTTATTCAATGCTATTTCACTGGCCCATCTAGCTTGACGATATCTTAAATGATTAGGTGATGTCAACGCAGAACATTCAATATCATCATGAGGTGGATGCTGTTGTAGTTGCGTCTGTTGACTAGATGACAGATTTGTTGATAAATTCAATGGTTGTGGATAGTATTTACTAGATAATGGTGATCGTCTAATAACATTAGCTAACATTGGTATGGGATTATTTGTTGTTGGACTAACAGATAAGTAAATGTTCGGACCTGAGTAAAAATGATTAAACAGATAGATTGTTGAGAAGGTAAAATGCCACAGTCAAGTATTCTGAACACTCTTTCGAAAAAAAATTCTAAAAATTTCACATTTTGGTAAAAATAAGATTAATGCTACTGAACAATAAAAACAAACTGTATGATTGTGATAAAAATGAAAATCAGAAACTACGTACACGTATAAAGCTGTCAGTCAAAAATGTACCATGTAAATACAGCAGGAGCTTAATGCCTAAAGTAACTGCATTTCAACGAGTAGGCTGTCAGTTCAAACCAAGCTATACAAACATTTGTTAGGGTGCCGAGTAGTTTCACTAGCCCTCACAGAGGCATTGTGTTAAGACATAGAGTACATAAATCCATATATATGGTGAGTTACTAATATTTAAGGTGAAATAGAGTCGTGATTTGTTAGAGATTATGGATGGACTTATCTTAATGGATCAAATATATAATAAACTATTTTATAATTATAATCCTGTATAACATATAGTCTATGTTATAACCAGTATTTCTGGTGAATTGTGAATATTGGTAAGACTCATTACAACAGGAACAATTTCTGGGACATAATATGTACACATAAAAAACGAAGGAAGATGAAAGTATCTTAAGGACTTAAAAAACATGTATAAAGAGTCCTTCACATATTTCGATTTCGTTCACACCTATTTGAACAAAATTACATTGCATTGAATATAAGTATGCCTTAAAAAACAAACATCTGATAAGCTTTTGTATTCTACTAAATGATTGATTATTGACGCGAAATGTAGCTATCCCGAATAGGAAAATCCATTTTACAGATAAAGACTAGAAAAATATCAAGAAATACTAACAGAGGATGCTTATCTTTATTGAATATGTTTGGTTCTTACTAACAATGAGGTTCATGATGAGTATTTTGTGCTATTTGAAACACATAATAAGTGATATTGAAGCATAGATATGAGAAAATAATATGTCGCCAAAATAGATTAAACCAGTCGACTAAGTAGCAATAATGTTTTCACGATCACCTAGTTTTTAGATGGATTTTTAAAGATCTAGTGGGAAACTAATTGAAGTTCAGCCAAGCAGGGAGTGAATTAGTTATATCTCTTTCTGAACGACTGTTGCAATTAGTCAAAAAGTGATTTTGGTTGAAAATATGAACCATGGGATTTCAACAAAATGGCTAAACGGTTTTGTGATCTTCGTAGGACTTGAAAATCTTGGTGATAAGTTATAAACTAGAATGACGTGGATGTTGAACGCAACTTAGTTTTCAATCACTAGGAGTGGTTTTGAATATTTATTAACTGAGACAGCCAGAATATTTGTTGCGTATATCTAACCACCTCTTATCCTGACACACCATGCTAGCTGGTGTTTGAATAGACGGAGGTAAAGCTAGGAAAGGAAAAGTTAAAACTTAGAATCATCCTGCAAAACCATTGACTTTTGGTCTAAGCCATGTTGATAAGTGCACAGTACCTGGTTGGGATCCACAGGATTTTCATGATTAATGATTGAAGACGAGTAATATGGCTCTGAATCAATCACAATGGCGCAGTTGCATTCACTTTTCCGTCTCACCCTAGTTATCGAGTTCTAGTAGTCTTTTATAGATAATTTTCCATCCCTTCTTCTACTCCTTTGCCAATTCATCTTATTAATTTCATCTCAACGCCCCAATGTGGCACAGAAACTTGAGCCAAGGCACATATGTGCCAGATCCTAAGTTGATTATGATTAACTAGTTGGATCTAGCCATTCTTTCTTTCTATTCTGAAGCCGACATTTTCACTAAGAAAGTAGCAAAATAATCGCAAATATTTTTTTAATTTGAACATAAATATTGGTACAAGAGAGCAAAGATTACGTATGCGCCACACAAGTCACTTGACTTGTGTGTGGGATGTGATACTGCCCGGGTGCCCGGACAGAAGCAGGACACATAATTACAAGTACTATCCATCAATAGTTTCAACCAGTTGACAGAACGTATATAGACCAAGGTGACTGTTATCATCCTATTAACAATGATTTAGAAGAGGTAAATCAAATGATACAATCACTTATAATTAATAATTTTAAATTGATCACATATTTATGATTAGTTATATCCTAGTATGAATCTCTTAAAGAAGTGAAGTACCCACGATGCGATGACGATATCAAACGCAGGAACTTCAATTCCTGTGAAGATCATAGTACCATTCAGTTATTCGACAAATTTATTGTATCGCGATATTCCGACACGTTATTGGTGAAACATTTTGTTAAATGTGTGCTGATTGACACTACACACATCACCGCTTACCATTAAGATTCTCGGGTATTCGCCTGCAAACTGATATATTTTAAAACTATAAGAAAATGAGCCGTGATTGGTAGTGTGCATAGAGACAGATTTATTTCGACTGAGAAATTTAATTTAAATGCCCTCAAAGAGTTTAGCTTAAATTTACTCTTTACGAAGTTGAAAAAGCCATACGAAATCTGAAGCGAGGGAGAGCAGCAGGCCCTGACAGGTTTACTCCTGAGATTTTCATGGATGGTGGCTCAGTATTAGCAGTGAGATTAACTGAGGTCTTAGGTAGAATTTGGGAACTGGACGTAATCCCATCTCTCTGGTCTCAATCACTGATTGTGCCAGTCTATAAGAAAGGACAAAATTCCCCTTGTGACAATCACAGAGGAAGCAGTTTGACTAATATAGTGCCTAAAATATTAGCTTCAATAATACTTCGACGCCTAACTAAAGCTCGTGAAGAGCAGACTAGAGAAAATCAGGCTGGTTTTCGACCTGGACGTGGTTGTATAGATCAGATGCTCACACTACGTCAGGTTCTAGAACACAGACACACGTTCAGACGCCCCACAATGGTAGTATTTCCCGACCTTAAAGCAGCATCCGACTCTGTAGATCCTAAGGTTCTATGGCAGTGTTTGTCATTGAAATGAGTACCAAAGAAGTACATTAACCTTATAAAGGCTCTCTACTCGAACACGACTGGTCGAGTGAGAGCTTATGGCGAACTGTCATCAGAATTGATTACCTCAAATGGTGTTCGTCAGGGCTGTCCATTCTCTCCATTCTTGTTTAACTTTGTTGTTGACGTGCTTTTAGAGATGACACTTTCCTCATCTAAATTTCCAAGGGTTGAACTCCTATCAGGAGATTCACTTGTTTTCTTACAATATGCCGATGACATAGGTCTATTTCGTGAAGACGCTGACAAAATGCAGAGTCGACCGCTTCACCTATCTTGGAAGTCTCATCAACCCTTGTGGTCTGGTGTGTGACGAAATCTCAGCACGGATACAGAAGGCTTGACTAGCTTTTGCCAACTTGCGTCATTTAAGGCGTAGGCGAGATATCTGTCTGTCAAGCAAAGGACGTGTTTACTGCGCAGCAGTTCGTTCTGTCCTACTTTATGGCAGTGAAACATGGCCGGTAAGAGTAGAGGATATTCGTAGGTTACTAGTATTTGACCATAGGTGTCTTCGAAATATTGCTCGTATATTCTCGGACCATCGAGTAAGTAATGCAGTTGTTAGGAAACGGGTACTAGGTAAGGATGGCAAATCGATTGATGAAGTGGTGAAACTTCATCAGTTGAGATGGCTGGGACACGTGTTACGTATGCCCAACGACCGACTACCTCGACGTGCGATGTTTTATGGTGTAGGAGTAGGTTGGAAGAAAGCTAGGGGTGGACAGACCAAAGCATGGCACAAGTCCATGAAGTCACTGACAAGTGGACTGTGCCATGTTGGTAGGTGTAGACTACCTGATTGGGGATCGCGAGATGATAGCAACCGATGGTTAGAGACCCTGAATGACATGGCTCAAAATCGTTTGCAATGGGGTAGGTGCATCCACTCTTTGTCTTCTCACAAATTCTAATCTTCTGAATTCTTCGTGTCCATTATTTTCTTTCCAAATTTTTTTCACTTTATTATACTCCTTGAATAACATCTTCAAACCCTAATCTTTCTGATTACTGCTTATACTCTTACTACCTCTACCACTACGGGATTTGAGTCGACAACTGCATCTCTGTGCTAATGTGGTGTGGCAACTCGAACTGATGTACGTACGTACGAAGTTCTACGTTGTTACTAACTGACTGACTGATATAAATCATGATCTTGGTTCACTGGAGAATGAATGCTATTGGCAACAATAATTTGTTCAATACAGAAATGAAATCCGAGTAAAATAAAACTGTGCAAAAGTCTGCAGGTATTTGTTATGAATTATATACACATCAATAATCAAAAAAACTAAACTGACTACTTACCAACTTTTTCAGGGAGATTATCAGCACTAAATAAGTATAAATCATTAACAATTCGTTTTTCATGTGAATTTAAACGACATGTTCCACGCCATGTTTTTTTAATTTTTTTCCGAAAATGAAGTTTAGAAGAAGGTTTAGTTTCTTTCAATATTGAATTATCATTATCTTCACCTTCGCCAAAAGTTAACAAACTATTATTACCGTGTATATCATTAATTTTACTGTCATTTAAAACATTTGTTGATTTCAATTGACTTTTAGATCGTTTCAGTTTTTTATGACGTAAATAACCAATTCGATGATTCAATGAAGTTAATGAATGTTCACGGGATCGTTTATCAGTTTTGTGCTTTGATGATTTATTATTTTTATTACCATCATTATTAATTATTGACCAATCTAAATCACGTATATCACCACGTTGACGTGAATAATTTCTCATAGTAATTGTCAAATCCGGTTCAGAGGATGATAAGCGTAAAGTAGATTTACCAGTAGTTGTAGTAGGAGTAGCAGTAGTAGTAACATTGTGATTGTTGTCAGTGACATCATTATTATGAGATGAGGATAATTTATTCTTTGTATTTTTTACACCGCCTGAAGTTAAATTAGGTAGAAAGAAATTGAAAATAAATTCGTTCTTTGTATAAAAATCAGTAGTATACAGATCTAGTTTAGATTGCTACAGATCGATAGACAGCTTGTACGCCCCCCCCATACCTAAATACTAATTTTTTATTTAGTTGACTGAACCATAGGGTCATGATGATAAAAGTATGGCACGAGGATGAGTCAATCAGAATAGAGAAAACTACTTTAGAATTATTGCACGAAATTCAGAAATGACTGAATTTTATGTTACTTTACATAGAATGTATTATTAACGACTTTATTCAATATTATATTTTCGGTACAATATAGAATTCTCAGAACAAAGTACCTCAACGAGTTTCCTTTCCTTTTTTCTTGATCGATCCTGATGATAAATATTGAGTGGTCACCAGTTAGATGTTAGCAGTTCAGGAATCGACATCTGAATAATGTATATTCTTTTCGATGCATATTGCCAGCAACCACGGTGTCTCTGATTGGGCTCCTTTGTAACTGGTACAGCGAAATATCGTAAACTTTTCACAAACGCGCCTAAATAGGTTATGCGACTAATATACATAATAATGTATTAAAACAAAATGAAAAAGATAACTTGTTGAAATATTTAGATGAGAGTAGGAGCAGGTAGCCCAGGAATTCAAGCAGGCCGCTCAATATACGATATAAATATCTTTATAGAATGTTCAGATAGTTTAAAATTATTAGGCAGAAAATGGCAATGTTAAACGTACTCTCTTACACATAGAAGACAATGATCAAAAGTAATAAATGGTTAAAGAGTATTTTAGCTATCGCTTGCCTCAGATATGCTTTACTAGTCAGAATAAGGGTAGATTAGAGAGGAATATAAGCATCTCTAAACAAACATATATGATTTCATGGAATCAATGAATGAATTTTGTCGAAAAATTTAGGTCACCCGGTCGAAAGTTGGTAGCCCTAAGTGATAACACATTTCAACATCTATAACTATACAAGAGATGAATTCATGATGAATTAATTTCATCTTAAATTTTGAAGACAGTGTAATTCCACAATTCCCATCCCCACAATTTTATTGTTTTTTATGTTATTTACGAATTTAATCCGTATGAGAACGTCTAACCTCTAGATTACTGGGCCAGAATCCAACGGTATTAATGTCTAACTTGAGCCAATCCACGATATTGAGTGACCATCTTCCATTGTCTTTAGTGGGTAACCTATATGGATTAACCACACTGGTCACGGATTCTCACTAGTTCAGTGCTTCAAGGTTTTCAATGGTGGTCTAACGTTGATCGATTCATGATCTTAATCAACAATTAACTGTTCGTTTAATGAATAATGTATTATTAAAAAAACTTTTGATTACTTGAAACAATTAAAATTTAAAAAGAAACCATCAATAACATTGAAGAGGAAAGCGAATGGAAGATAAAAAGTGATAAACCTGGATAAAATGATTATAAACAGAGAGAAAGTTAGAGTGTTCACGTGTTTCTCTGAATAAAATCCTACCTTAATTACTGATATCGGCATGAGAAAAAATTGACAGTGGGATAGTAAACAATCCAAATATTTTGACTTTTTCTAATGACATCTCATAAGCTAGTGAGCTATTCTGATAGATTTCATTTAGTCGATTTAGGATAGTATACGCTTGTTTACTCGAACATATTTACACAGACAGTGGAGATTAGTTTAATTTTGTGAAAACGTTTGGAGTCGCATGGATTTTTTTTAACAGCCACACTACCAAGCCCCCCCCCCCCAAAAAAAAAACAACTAACCAGACACAGATTACATCTTCACATGTGACTATTTTATCAAATTGTTAATTATATTTTTCAGCATCATCAAACAATTGTTCCATGAAAAAGGTGACAAATACAGACTCGTAAGTTAGATGCTGAGCCATATATGTATTGAGTTGGGACTTAAACCAAAGTTTTAAGGGGTTCGAACCTATAACAAGTAAATTAATGCTGAGTATCTAGTTGATCGATGAATCTTGTAGTTCACTTTGAAGAGATTAACAGCTAAAACATGAATATAAGCTCATTAATAATTTATTATCGTTCACACATATTAGTTATGAGAAAATAATTAGTGAATAACACTACAGTAAATCATATACTAATCCAATTTAAACACTAAGACTTACAATTGCCTACATTATTCCCTATGTTCTGAGATATTACATCTGATGTATTAAGAGTTTGTAAATTTAATCGAGGTTGACGTGCTGAAGGTCTACGGAAAACCTTTGGATTAGGTAAATCAGCCACAGCGTCAGCAAGTAGATTTAATGCTGTCAAAAATAAAGACAGACATAAAATCATGAAAACAAAGTAATATCTTCCATTACATAACAGCTAACAATGCTATTAAGAAAAATTTAATCTCTGAGTAAAATAACTTAGACAATACAACTAATAAAATAAAACACATGGATTACAAATATTCATTACTCAAATAAGAAACAGATAGCCTTTCAGTTTAATCTATTGAATTAGTGAACAGTAGTGACTACAATCAGTTTTAAACTAACAAGTGAGTTTTGATCATTTTTAAGATAATTAATCAAGAACAAAGTGATTTCATTTCAGTCTTACAGGAGGTTAGTCACGGCTCGGATAGCTCAGTGGTAACGTCTCTGACTGTGAAGCTGAGTGACACGAGATCGAATCCGCCAGGGAGCATCAGTTCCCTCAAGATAACAGGTACACCTTGCTGACGAGTTCCAAGTAGCATGAAAACCGGGTCCAGGGTTTCTTGTTGACTACCTCCAACCACCATCTAAATCTCAACAAATTGATTTCATTCATTTTCCTTATTGTAAACACATCACGTTTTCTATTGTTTTACCGCATTAATTTGTATACATTCACACACACATGCCTAGTGATTCTACCTCAATTTGACCATATGTCCAATATCTGGGATAAGTTCAAGTTAAAACAGTTGAATTGTTCAAGATGAAATATACACACAAACATGATAACAAAAGAAAATAAATGAATAGACAACATAAAATCTACTAAACAGATAGAAGATGAATGAAAAAAAGACGAACGCTAACTATACTGACGAATCATAGATTTTATAGATTTACACTTATAAATTCGAAAAGAAAAGAACAAATTTATTTATTGAAATACATCAAACACTAAAACTGTATATGAATCAAGTATATCTGATCGGGATAGATCATAGTTAACAGGCAGAAAAGTAACCATGCTGAGAGATAAGATGAAAATTCTTTTATTTGGTAAACTTGGATATGATAAGGATACAATTCAAAAAATTCAAATTCACCATACTTGTTCGTTACCTTCTCTCTCATAGACAGAATTTCATGCATACTTAATACTGAAATGGAATGATCAAGCAAACAGAAAGTTATAACATAATTATAGACTAATGTTAAGCAAGAACAACAAACATCGTGGGATGAAGTGAATTCATTTCATAAATCTGTGTTGTTTTAATCTTTCCCCCATGCACTGATTTGCGTAAATAAATAAAATGTTTGACGAATGTATTTTGGTATGTAACATGCATAAAATCATTAAGTTTACTAGTGAATAGTAGTCATAAGTACTTCAGTATTCACACAAGTTGAATTTATAGGTGAACAGAACAAGCGCGCGCGAGAGAGAGACCATGATGTAATTGAGTACAAGAAAGGTGTGGAAGCTATTTTGATTATGGCAGGTACAATCATAAAATCGGTAGTATTTACCAGTAAATTGATCATAATAATGATAATAATAATAATAGTAATTATAGACGGTTTGTGAAGATTGTTAGATTTACACAACCCAACGGTATGATCCCCGGTTGAGTTGTGGATGGGAAACGCTGGACAGTGCCACATTGGGAAAAGACAGTGATTCAGTGCTCTCTGGTTTTTAGTGGTTACATAAGATCAGTCTATGATGTAAACCATCAGAAAACAATATTAATGGGATGACGAAGGAAAAAACATCTTATTTACTAATGTTCACTATAAGAAAACTTGTTATAATATGCATAAATGCAATTAAAAAATAAACAATAAAGGAATCATTATGATCAAAATAAAAAGTTCATAGGGAAGATGAGAAACGTTTGTAAATGTTATGGACCACATAAACAAAACGAAGTATTTAAATAATTTAGAAACCTCCATGGCTACACTTATTTATCTGAAAAACTTTCGATTAAACCGAAATTGCAACGCTATTTTGTGCAAAGAAACAGTATTATTTTGCTACTTCCTCGGAAAGTCAATCTTATCTATAATTATAGACAATACCTAATAAAAACCCATATCAACAGAGTAAGCTGTCAGTCAACTTTGAAGAAATTCAAATAGGTTACTCATTCTTAAAGTATAAGCTGATAATTTTGTCTAGAGAGACACGGAAAGTTTCACGATTAAACTATTGAGCTCGGAGCATACACGTTAACTGAAATCATTTTGCTGAGCTATAAATTCTCTCCATTATTTCATAATTTATTCTAAATGTTTAAGCGAAATGGGTGTAGTATAATGACAGTCCCGTACAGCTCTTACACAGTAGATCAACAGGGAAATAATTTTGTTAGTTGATCCCCCAGTGGTCATTATTTCAAAGTTTCGGGTAAATATGTATAGCTTAATTTTTGTTTACTCCACTGGTTGAGGCTTCTCACCAAACCGTGTCGGATGTGAGGCAGTTACCTATCGAAGACAACGAATAGTTGAGCATTCATGCGCAAGACCGAAGGTTTCGGGTTTGAGTCCCGGAAACAGGGTTGTAGATGCGCACTGCTGAAGATTCCTATACCAGGACAAAACGGCCGACTAGTTTTTCAAAGCTTTTAACGATGGTCTATCTTGGATCGACACATAATTTCGCTGAATTTATAGATTCTTTTCTGCTCTGGATTTTACATTGTGCGGCTGCTTTGAATTTATGTCAATAAACGACTGTTCCAGGTTATATATTGTTTTCAGTCGTTGGTCGGAATGATATATCTGTTTATCATCCGATCTAACCTGATGGTCCAATTAATTAATCTGGTGAGTTATTTAGAAATGTGACCTAATGTATGTCCTATCTATTATCTAGCATATTAAGTCGTATTATTCATTATCAAGTAAATGATTGCAAACCCCAGCTTTATCAACGTTATATTATAAACGATCTGCATCAAGGACAATGTTCAAAAAACACGCATTACAGATTTTTATAAAAGAGATCAGTGAAAATGTAAAGTGTGTTAACGAATTAAGCTCCAGTTATAGGCCCCTGTAGGACAGGAAATCAGCCTGTTTTGTACTTTAAAGAAAATAGCTTAAAAATTGCGTCAGAGGAGACAAAAAATAAACTTTTTCTGGTAAAATTATAGGTAAAGGTATTAGTCAATCAGAATCGAGAATGTGACTTCATGATTCTAGAGTAGAATATAAATAATACGTGCAGCGAGTGGCAAAATCACCTCTTTAAACTGCTCAAAACGTTTAACATGAACACGACAAATTACTTTATGCTGCCATAGTGAAAATGATAGCATCAAGTGCTAAACTTATCTCTGCAGATTGCATATAATAGGTAAATCGATACTATCCCTGAATCCTTCATCTTGAAACATACCTTAAGTCTGGTGGCACTATTTTTTATGAACGAACTAGCCAAGTAGTGACTCTTGTTATTTTGCACTTACTTTACTAATCTGTTTGGTTACAGAGCAGTTTCTCATTGTAGCTTATGCCAATTTGTGATGATAAATCTAACCTTTAGCCTCTGATCATCACCCTAAATACCTAACCCTAACCAAGAACAGTGTAACATTTCTGAAAAGTTTATTCGGATCATTTCACAGGCTGAGAAACTAAATTTTATGTTAATTTGCAATTAACTTGGACATTAATCTGTAGTAAATTTTAACAGATTTATCAAAAATGTAAATTCTATCCACAGTTTATAATATTATTGTTTTCTTTCTCTATACAAAACTATCTATTTATAGGGGCTGTTTTCTGATTATCTAGGAACTAGCTGAAAATTAGTTCACCCCTACACTATACTTTTACACTTTTTCTATATAAATGAAACAATCGAGGGTAACAAAACCACTAATTGATTCACAAGTGAATGAAAATTTATCCAAACATGTAAAACTCGTAAACAATAACTATAATGTAATATAATACAAAATACATTCTATCAGCGACAAACAGATTATGGCTGTATCCATCATACTGTAAACATCATCTCAACGATCATATTTTCTTATTTCTGAACAATTTATTTAAGATATATATATATATATATATATATATATATATATATATATATATATAATTTTCAGGATGGTGTTGTGGAGGTTGTTGAATCTCATTGAAACCATGAACTGATCAATGTTAGACCACCATTGAAAACCTGGAAGCATTGGACGGCCAACTTCTCAACAATGTGAAACGGCATCGTTCCCGGGGCTGGAACCCAGGACCTTCGGTCTCATGTGAATTTCTGACCTATAAGCCACTGAACCGGTATCCAATTATCGTTGTATTATGAATAATACTAGTAATTCAGAATAAATATTTTGCAAATATCCACCAGTTAATATTTAGAAATAAAGAAAAAAAACATAAAAATTAGTATGCTACAAAATTTTGATTACCACATTCATTAAAAACGAATGCATGTTTGAAATGATTCTACTAATATTACTAAATCAAAACTAATGTTAAGTTTCAATCATCATTCAAAGTAGATTTATTCAAATGAATGATGTGACCCAAAAAAATCTCAAGTATGTAGAAAATGACAGTTTATATTGTGATGTTGTTGTTGTTGTTTAAAGTAATAATTTAATTGGGAAACGATTTAACATTGGAAGAAGCAGTACCGGTATCAAATTGATTATTTTTATACGTCCTATCCAAATCGACTGGAAAACTGTTATCGCAATAATTCCCAACGGTGTATGATCATAAAAAGATGAAATGGAGCAGCTAAACCAAAAAATATTTCCGACTGCCGACTCAAAAGATAAAATCAACATGCGGACCATGAGACATGTTTGGAAAAGTAAAAATGTTGTAACAATAATATGACTACGAAACTCGATGAAGTCTCAAAGTGACTTTAATTTAGTGAAATAAAACAAATGAAAATGTTTATACATATTACGAAAGTCTTTTTGACACAGGAAAACAAACTACTGACCACTAGATTTTAACTGAGACTAGAAAATCTATTTAACACAACTAGTCACAATACCTTATATTCATGAACTTAAATAGAAGATAACAGCCTGAATGCTAGTGAAATGATTGTTAATCAAAACATACGCTTCGGACCGAATACAAAAACACATACTTTGAGGCGAAATTATTGACCAAATCCATATGTAGTTTAGACCAACATATATGGTTGGTTGGTTAACACAAACCACCAAGTATACACATAAGTAGCAAATATCGTTACTGTCTAGTACAAATTATTAAAGAATCGATGGAACAACGTAGTCTTAACAAAGTCATACATATTTGTGTATTGGCTACACTAAATATGTAGTGACTAACACAAAACAAAAGTAAAAATGAATCCATTGCATTATAGAATACAATGGCTGAAAGCCTGCTGGTTAGATAACTGAGTTAAAAGTTCACACAAAATATTTTTTATTGCAGATACATAACAAAAACAATTTCATTTTCGAATATACAACAGCCCAAATAATGATTATAGTGGCATGCGACACAAAATGCCAATGTTTATAGTTTCAGATTTACCAACTGTAATTAAACATTTGCCAACAGTCGAGGACCATAAGTTGGAGATTTAGGATAAGTGAATCGTGGCTTGGAGTGGAGTTGACAATACGAGTTTCGCCTTGTTTGAAACATTCCAGATAGGTTTACCTGAATCTCAGTGTTAATGGTCATTTTGGGACTCGCTCCAAAAACCATATCTGCCGAATAAGTTATTGGATATCTTAACTCAGTAAATCAGTAGATGACCGATTGGCGTTTGAGGCGAAGACCACTGGGTTCCGGTTCCAATGTGGGTATCAGCAATAGGATGTCGACACATTTACCTGGCGAGTCTTAAACAGAGAGGAACGTCTGCCCTAGTTTCCATCGCTACCAACAATTCATCTATCCTAAATAACGGGTAATATATATATGCCAATAAAGACTGATCTAAAGTTAGTCCTTGATATTAACAGCAGGACAACTCAAAGGCTTACTAATAATGATGAAAGCATCAGATGACCAGTTTTTTTAGACGTAATATCCACTGCGAATGCTCCATGACCGAAATTAATGTAAATGTCAAGAAAGGTCACTGTTGAATATCAGATGATCGAACATATTCATCAAGAAATTATGCTTTCACAATCAATCGTTACTACTGATTGTCAAACACGTTCAGATTTATCTAGACCAACTGAAGAAGTTCGTGTAGGCTTCAAAAATCAACTATTTAATCGCTCTAAAGTGGAAGTTTACTGTTGGTAAAAAGAATTTAAATTTATGTGTTAAAGTTTGATCATGTGTAAATGAGGTATATGAAAACAATAAAAATGCGTCACTTATTGTAAAATATATTTTTACGAGTAATTCACAAAAATAACTTATTACAATCAATTCACTTACCATGCTCTTGTCGTTTTACATCTTTATAATTCATAAAACGTATTGGAGATTTATTCAAGTCATTGGTTACAACTGGATTGGAAGACTGGTTAGGTTTGTTATTATTGGAAGATTGTAAAGGAGATTCATTAAATTGGTTATTTTCGTGAATAGGTGGTAGGACCGCTTTCTGTGATGAGGGAAAATATTGGAAGATGAAGTAAGTAATCTTAATTTATTATAAAGAATCGTGATGAAATATTTATCTAGATCTAGGTGGAATTTTGTTTTCTGAGGTGCATGGTTTGGTCGTGCAGCTTCCACTGAAAAACAATGAAGCCTCCACGGCTAAACCATCTACCATAGACAACAAAACTGCACCTAAATTATCCAACTGAGCTACAAATGTTCACTATCATTTCATGTATCTTGATTAACTATAATAATCTGTGAGCAATAAACAGTAAAAAAGATAAAGTTTCCTAACAAAAACCCGGGATACACAAAACATTTTTTGACGATCCTCAATTTCTCAGGTTTAAAGGTCGAAGAATCTTCCGGAATTTTTAACACCAACTGTGTATGCAAATTCACATGTATCTACCAGAGCAGTTACATTGGTAGAACAAAAGGGAGAGCCTAAAACTGATTCAAAGAACATATTCCAAAAGTCTAAGGTCAAATGGATTAAAGGCATTCAGCAGGGCCATCTTGATACAGAACATCAAGTGGATACACTGAATTCTTTCAAGGTGATTAATAAACGATCACACTCCAGTCTTTTGAAATTTGACGAAGCAATAGCGATCAAACGTCTAAAACCACATCTGTATGTCTAGAAAAAACAGTAATAAATCTTTCTTTGCCCTAGTAATATTACATCGTTTTTATTGCATCATTCATTATTTCACCTTTTTCTCAAGTTTTGATTACATCATTGTCATTTTCTTGAATTTATAATTTTCATTCATAACTGACTGATATCAATTCATATCTTTCTTTATTACTATTAATCTATTTTCATTTACTTCATTACACAATTATCAAATGTTTGTTAACTCAATGATTCCTAATCACTACGTCTGTGTTTTAGAACTTGGCCTCTCAAACTTTATTTATTCATCCGAAACAAAATTTTTTATGACTTTATTAACTCTATTGAAGTGTTCGCTACATCATGATAAACATATTTATCTCTAACCATCTACGTATCTATAAGTATGCCAATATCTGTAATAACGTTGATTTTAAATATTACAGGTTGTAAGCAGATGATGAGAACCTAACGAAATAAAATGAATTCATATTATTCTGCACCAAACTTTGCTTTTGCTCTCTTTAAAATTGTGAATACCTTTGTTAATAAGCAACTCAACATAGCTAGGATATTACAATATAAATAACACGAGAGCGTATAGATTCTCAGAAACTCTGTGTTCATTATGAAGAATGTTAAATAGAAAAAAATGCTTTTCTTGATAAGACAAAGCATATAATCACTAGAATGGAGAATTCAACTTAGATTTAATTGATTATATTCCAGATATCATGCATTCAGAAGTGAGATATCTAAAAATGTGACTTAATTTGTCATATAAACATAGTAATTAACAGGCAATCAACATCAGCCCGGAATTCCCTTATGATGTCTAACAAGCCTAAGTCAGATGATTCTAAATTGGCTAACACTATAGCTATTAGACGTCTGAAAGTTGGTTTATGAGTTCATACGGAAGCGATTGTTAGATCCCATCTCCCCTTATTGACGAGAAGTTTAAACGTTTCGAATTTCATTACAATAAATTCAAGGTTCTTTATACTAAAATTTCATTTTAACCAACTTAGAATACTTGTCAATCATTATAAACTTGGTTTCACCTTTTTTCGTTATACAACAGTTTGTTCTATCCACCCATGTTCTCTTATCGAACTTTCGATACAATATTCAGCTGAGGCAATGCACTCAATCTTCTTAGTGTTATTCACATTCCTATCATTTTTATTACCATAACTTCCGATCTCCTTCAATGGTATTAATGTGTATCAAATTTTATTTGTATGATAACTGAAGTATTACGGAGAGTAAAAATGTGGTGAGATCCCAACAATATGGAATAGGTTTATCTGATTCAGAATTAATCCCGGTTAAGACAAAAAGCAAATAGTTTGACAAAGAACTTGTCTTCCCAAAAAACTTTACTATTAAATCCACATATGATCATAAATTTGTATGGAACGTTTAATGTGATCAATAAGGTTATTTTTACAGTATTCATGTGCATAGTTCGTGTTAGAGATATGATTGGCCAGTGAGCGTGGACAGACAGACAGGACTAAATATATATGGTTTCCTTCGTGCAATTGGAATCGATACCGGACTCACTGAAAGTGTGAACTGTCTGTAATTGTGTTGAACTAAGTATTGTCTAGCATATGCTCTGATGCCCTATTTTTGATCATGAATCATGTATGTGGTGTAACGAGATCCCGTCCAAATGTAGTGTATCGATCGAGTATCTGGTTTGATGATAGTATGATCCTATTTACCGGTCGAATAATAGTGGTATACCGCGGCAAAGAGGAACACTTTATTCTACCGTTATAACAATCGAGTAAAGAGCCTAATGGTGAGTAAAATGAAGTTATAATTGATCAGATTTAGCCATATATAGGGAGTAGGACAATCACCACTGGTGCAATTGAATGATTATAATACAACACTGAAATTGAATTTCAAGTTAATCGTGTAAAGAAATTGTGCCCGCTAAGAGAGCTGAAAGTTGTAGAGCAATGCATCACTGCTAAGTCTCATGTTATGATAAAGAAAGCTGTTCAATGTCTATTGTTTTCCTTTAATAATTTGAGTAAAGCCAGAACGAACATTGATACAGAATAATATAAGAAACAAACTACTCACTCAAACAAACAAAAATCGACAGGTCCTCTTTTCTCGGTACCTCTAAATGCATTTGCCAATTTACATGTATGTGCCAAAGCACATACATTGTAAGAAGAGAGAGAATACATGCCCCAAAAAACTTGAGAATGAGAGGCAAAATGGCTCGGCATTTGCTTAACACCGGGCCACAAGCCTTTAAAATTATCAGCAGACAACAGAACGTAACATCTTTTAAATATATTGATGCAATAGCAATAAAAAAGCTCAAACCTGATTTATGTATCCAGAAAGAGACAGTAATAAACTTAACACTACCTTGGTGAGTTTTTTTGTTATTATCATTATTTTATTAGTGTTTGTCACATGGTCTTATATTACGTACACCAAAACTATCTTTTCACTATTACGTTTTCATTCGCTTAATTCTCGTAACTTATGTAAACTCTTCAAGTCCTGTCCAATTATTACACAACCCATCTTATCAGTCCTTAATTCCAGTTATCTTATGTAAACCCATCATAATCTCTAAAATTATCACACAATCCACTTTATCATTCTACAGACGTCATTTGATTAATGCATCACCCACCTCTTATGTCTTCAATTCCAACTGCGTATATATATAATGATAGCTTCATCTATGTCACTTGTTTCACATTATATCATACCTCAATGTTAACTTTTAATACATATATGGTTGTAAGCAGCTGATGCGAAAGTACGAAATATGATGAATTTATATTATTCTGCATCAAAGTTTGTTCTAGCTTTATTTAATGTATATTGGTTTTCAGTGATACCACAAATAATTTTAATCCATGACGAAACTCAGTTAGTAAATGAAGAAGTCAGTACAAAAATAATAGACGAATGAATGAAATGTTTAGTCGAAAACGTTAGTATACAATGAACTAAACAGGATCAGATAACACGTAACTTAAGGATAAAAAAGAAACAATGCAACAGCAATTACAAGAATATAAAAAATAAAGAAATATACGAGGATATAAAGGAAACCACAGTAATTGTAATAAAAGTGAAGGTGAACATTGCTTCTGTACATAACGATCTGGTATCAGCTTGCATGTAATAATACTTCTACAACGAAAACACTCCATACAACAATACAAAAACTATACATTTTATGAGAATTTAATCACTAGAACGAATGTGTTTTTGATTAAATGATGTTTCATATCATTCTGTTAGCCAGATCATTTGGTTTGTTTTGTTTATTTAAATGTAGAACATCGTCTATAGGAAACTATTTTCTCTGACCCTATTCATTTGAGGAAATTTTGATTTTAACTAGTAAATTTTACAACTTTAGAAATTTATAAAATTCAATCTTCAGAAAAAGGACATTTTTTCTAGCCTGTTTAATCAAAGTGCACTACTTTCTTTAAGAAAAAACACAGTATCTCTAACAGTTTTATCAACAAGTGTCCATTTACATAGTTTGTTTATTTTAAGATATGATTTGTATATTATGCCACGAGGGGACACATACATAGACACAAAAGCATAAGGACACTCTGTAGGGAACATAAAAAGTATTCATCTTCTTTTAAACATGCAACCAATTTCAAAGGAACATCCAACGGTATATATTCTTGTTAAAGTTGATAAGTATGTTTACAAGATAACACCAAGTGATGTTATTTTATCTTAACTTTCAAGATATGATCTCTATCCATAGATTTTTGCAGTGAATTCATTCTTTAACCAGTATTCATATTCACTATACATAATCATTTTTCTTAACATTGATAATACTACTTGTTCTATCTCTTTTTATAGTCATCTGGTTGCTGTATAGTGATAACTTGAACTGATACAGAAATATGCCACAGTAATACATCTCATTCCTATAATTAAGTTACATCAATAAATATGGGTATCATTTGGTTAGGTGATTTGCGGAAATCATTTTAGTCTGAAAGTGCTTTCTGACACTGAAAATCAAAGAGAACTAGGTAGCTGCTTCCATCTTAGTTTGTAACTACTACGTACCGTGCACTCGTGACATAGGACAGAGTCATCAAATCTTTTGGCAAGTATATTAGCTTCAGAATAGCTGCGAGACAAAATTCAAAGACTGACAGTCTCAACCTTACAGTTAACATTACGAACTGATTTAATTCAGGTAACTACTGGACAACTGTTTCACTCTAGTAGAGGACTTATCAGCAGTCCATGTCCGTAATTACACAGGAGACAGGACCCAAGACATTCAGGTCCTTAGAGTTCAACTTTTCGATCACCGAGTCAATGTAAAATGGTTTCTATTTACAACTTTAGTCCATTTTCAATTTGCTGACTTGACAATTCAACGTTGTTCATGGTGAGGAGTTCCAAGCTCGAAATGAAAAAATTGCCTAATTAATCCTAGTTTTCAAGCTGATATCAGTCCACAACAACAGAAATTCCCATTATATGTGTATATTAGTTCAATAAATATTGATCGCAAAAAGTATTCAAATACTATATAGTTGGAAACTTTTTCTTCAACATTGTCAGTGCTAGGAACCAGTGGTTAAACTCTATAAGTCATACAAGGAAATAAACTGACAAACTCGACAAACAGATTTTTGTTAAAAACCATTTTAACTGTTTTTATTTTGCATATTTATTACTTCATTCAGGTTTTTCATGCTTCATTTTTATTACACAAATGTTTCGTTATCGCCCTATATCGTGGGAAACTGAAAGGGTTTATTGTTTTACATAATTAGAATGCAAACTAAGGGTATTCAATATTATCGGTCGATTTGTTTATCAAAAAGTATAACAAGTATTCAATATCTCTTTATCAGTAATCCTCGGGACAAGGAATCAGTGATCAGAAATTAAAGAACAAACACATGTCCAATAACTTCATAAATAAAGAAAAATTTTTTCTCTGTCCTTCCAATATCCTTGGAGCCTTTACAGTGATTACCAAGACGCATAGCCGTTTTGAAAACAGATGGTTTACTCAATGAACGAACGATTTCCACAAAAAATTTTATGTATCTCCTGAGAATGTTTACTAAATTTGAGCAAAAGCATTATAAACTTTGTTCGTATATATGTTGAGCAGCTGAAATCTGGTGAATAAACTGTTAAGTGTACTTTCCAAGGAAAGGAGTTAACATCCAATAACATAGAATGCACATAACTTTGCAGTTATGCCATCTTCTAAAAGTACCTGACAATGTTTATCACAAATTATGTAACAGTACCAACTTTTACATACACAATAAGTCATTATAACAATTTATATTCTCAGCAGTGCGCATCCACGATCCCTCACGCGAGACCCGAACCCAAGATCTTCGGTCTCGCACGCGAACGCTTAAAGTATGGACCACTGAGTCAGCATCCAACTGTGTCAATGTCTAAATTCGACCAATCCACGATATTGTGCGACTGTCCACTATTGTCTTCAATGAGTAACTGCCTCACAATAAACACGTTTGAACTCCATTGGTCACGGCTTCTCACTAGAACTCCAGAAAATCCATCTTGAAGCTAGTCCACTATTGAGCACATGACAAAACGGCCGTCCAGTGTTTCCAGGTTTTCAGTGGTGGTCTAACATTGATCCATTCATGATATCAATCTTAACAACTTAACAATCTCCACAACCCTATGCTGATAATTTGTATCCTGTCGTTAAAGACTGTATTTTAAGATGATTTCACTTCATATTAAGAAATATACTGTATGCAACTTATTTTTCACAATTTTTAAAAACAACATTACAAATTGTGAAACACAATTTGTTGGAATAATGTCACCTTATCGTTTTGGAATGTTGCTTTGTGTTTTGTATCAACTTAATCATGACTGTAATGAATTGACATTTTCAGAATGTACATATTTATGATGAATAAAAGTTACGTAATACTGAACAACTGTTTTATTTATAAGCTCGAATAAACCAATATTCTAAATTCAACTTAATAAAAATAACATTATTCATTTATACTTGGATTTATTTCTAAACAGTTTACCTCGTTCCTCGTTCATTTATTTATTCATTCATTCAGTATTAAAAATATATTAAAGGTGTGAAATAAACCTTATTACAGAATAGATGATATAATTACTATGAATCCTGTGTTCATCTTGTTGTGCTAATGAAGTATGGCAACTTGAACCGATGCACATGTGTGCCTGGTCCTACGTTGTAGCTGACTGACTGATATAATTACATGAAATACATTGAAGTAATTAGATTTTCGTATAAAGGTTTATTTATGTCAATCATATATATATATATATATATATATATATATATATATATATATATATATATATATATAACGGCTAAAAACTGATGGACAAGTTTATTATTATACTAACATGGAGGTTATCATCAGTCTAAATATCTTACCATTTCACTGTTTGCAAAAATCCTCATTTCATTAATACAAAACGAATCAAATATACAGATTGATTTAATTATGAAGTGTTAACAAGAATGTCTACTTTAAGCATTACACAAAATCTAGGGAGTTTTACTGAAAGAGTGGAAAGGTGTTTATCAAAGACAGAACAACTTAACTATTCAAAATATATCATTATTGTAATCATACAAACCACACTATATGTTTATATATTAAACTTACTGGCACTTATTCAAAAGAACATAGATAATCATTGTTATTTCACAAGTTGAAATCATCAGTCAATTGAAGCTAGACCACCATGGAAAACCTTGAAGCACTGGACGGCCGTTTCGTCCTGGTATGGGGCTCCTCAGCAGTGCGCATCCACGACTCTGCGCCTCGCGGGATTCGAACCCAAGTGACTGATGATTTCAACTTGTGAAATTTCTAAAAATCTCCACAAAACCCATTCTGATAATAATATTATGTTATTGTTAACTGTATTAGCTAATGAGATGATGTATAATAATTTTAATGCTTTAGATGTATTCTATTTCACGGAATAAACAATTTTTTTTAAATTTTATCTAATGATTACGATTACGTAATTCAGGTTTATTATAGTAAAAATGTTGATAACCAATTCGAAATCATTTACGTAGCTATATCTTGTACTTAAAAGAATCTGTGTTAATAATATGGACATGAAAACAAGAAAAAAATTTATTTCAAGGAACTAATTCAGATTATTGAACTATTCTGTAAAACAGGGACATGATAATTAATCGAACGTTTAGAACAAAAATGGAACTGTTTCCATTTATTAGACATAAATATTGATGTAACTAAGAAATGGAATTGGGAACTTATTATATCTATCTAGTCAGATGTATTTGATCTAAAAGACGGATCCATAAACTACAGTTTAATATCACCTGTAGTGTAGTCTTCACATGTCTCCTACCTATATAGTCAGTCAGTCAGTAACAACGTAGAACTTCGTACGTACGTACATCAGTTCGAGTTGCCACACCACATTAGCACACAGATGCAGTGGTCGATTCAAATCCCGTAGTGGTAGAGGTAGCAAGAGTATAAGCAGTAATCGGGAAGATTAGGGTTTGGAGATGTTATTTAAAGAGTATAATCCAGTGAAAGAAATTTGGAAAGAGGGAAAAAGGGACATGAAGAATTCAGAAGATTAGAGTTTGGGAGAACACAGAGAGTGGATGCACCTGCGCCATTGCGAACGATTTTGAGCCATGTCATTCAGGGTCTCTAACCATCGGTTGCTGTCATCTCGCGGTCCCCAACCAGGTAGTCTACACCTACCAACATGACTCAGTTCACTTGTCAGTGACTTCGTGGACTTGTGCCATGTTTTGGTTTGGCCGCCCCTAGCTTTCTTCCAACCTACTCCCTCCTACCTATATAGACCATGTTTCACACCTATACAATATCACGGAGTAAACTTATGAGTAATATGTCCATAACTTCGTAAGCAGACGATCATCTTCGTTACTCCACAAGTGGCGTAAGTTAGCAAAACCTAGACGAACGTTCTGAATATACTTCAAGATTTTCTCAAATATCAACTAATCACAGAAGGTGAAAATTTCAAGAAGAGTGAAGTGGCTGACGAGCTCATCTACTTAACCATACTGAATCAAAGATACCTACGGGTAGGATATTTCAAAATCAAAACGAGTAAATGGTTTCACTGATATTGCAATGCATAGTGTGAACTGTTAAATACTTCGTACTATATATACATATAGCTGATACTCACCAAACGCTCTCTTCGTGTTCGAATACCTAAACGTCTTGCTTGCATAGATGCACGGAAACTAAAATAAAAAATATGAAGACAAAAAGACAATGGTAGAGTGATTAGCATTAGCAACAAGAATGATAAACCTCGACACGGTATCTCATGTTGATATATTCATACGTAAATTAATGAAAATGAAAAAGGGTTGGGTGATCATACTGATAAAAGTACAAATTGACTACGAGTATTACAATATCTATAACTATGTTACATAATGACATCTCAACGATATATGTACAACAACAAAAAGAGTGAAGTAGAGATTGATCATGACAAAAAGAAGAGGTATTCTCTCTTAAGTAAACAACTAAATGGACAAAGACAACTGATGAAATATTACCTAAGTGACTTTGGAAAGTTGTCAATTAAACAGTTCATTAAAATAACAATTACGTCTAAAGAACCAATACGAAAGAAGTACAATTTCAACAGCTTTTTTAATTTCCGATCTTTTTGGTGAGAAAAGTAGGAATTTAAACAATAATAATTTTTATGGACACCTTAACATTTACTGGAATGAATGAAGAGAATTTCTGATAATCTCTAGTCATTAGTGTGTGAAGTTATACTTACAAATTACGGCTCACAAATGAACAACAATATTGTTACTGGTATGCAATATCAGTCAGTAAGTAACAACGTTGAACTTCGTACGTACGTACGTACATCAGTTCGAGTTGCCACACCACATTAGCACACAGAGTTGCAGTTGTCGATTCAAATCCCGTAGTGGTAGAGGTAGTAAGAGTATAAGCAGTAATCAGAAAGATTAGGGTTTGAAGATGTTATTCAAGGAGTATAATAAAGTGAAATAAATTTGGAAAGAGAAAAAAAAGGGACATGAAGAATTCAGAAGATTAAAATTTGGGAGAACACCAAGAGTGGATGCACCCGCGCCATTGCAAACGATTTTGAGCCATGTATGTTATATATAATAGATAACAGTTTGATGGTTCACATAATAACTATTTGATCAGATTAGGTTTTAATGGAAAAGTCATCAATTATAGGTCATAATTATCACAAGGATCCAAACCGTGAAATGTGAACTTTCTGGTACATATCCTGTTTGCTCTAATCGCCCCAAACTTTCATCCAACTTATTCCACTGCTCATCAGTACTGCATATCGGAATAGTGTATATCGAGAAATACATTTTACATATACCAATCGATTAAGGTTTATATTCTTATCAACCAACTTACTGTTTCTATCTAATCAGAATTCACTCCGTAGTTATACTATAAGCAAAAAATTTATCGGATTTATCAAATACTACCAACCTATTCAAGTCTTCTTAGTTCATAAAAAATATATCACCAATGTAAAGTAACATAAATAGGAATGCTGTGTACTAAGTTTTCTTCTTGATAGGTAGAGGGATATCAAGTCACGGATAGTGCAAATCACTGAAACTCAATTATGCATCCGTATCCATCATACCAAGATTTTCCAAGGGCTAGTGTAGTTGTCATATCAGTTGATCAATTTACTCACTATGTTTAGATAAGCTACTGATACAAACTAGTCCCGAACCAATATTCTAGGTTTAGAAAGATATGTGCATACAAATCAGTCTGATTGTACATTCCAATACTAGAGGGTAACCATCATTACGACCCAATATTATTAAACCAGAAAACGAAATAACAACAACACTTATGAGAAAGTAAAACGAGAGAAAAAACATCGCAGAAATAAAAATTATCTTGAATAATAATCATAAAAATGATTTTTATTAGTTTACTACTATATGAGGGGAGGGGGGAAGGAAAAAGAAAAACATCAAAATGTAGTCATTATCATTTAACAGCTAAGAAGGTATTAAAAAACTGTCAGGTTTATGACTTTCACTGTCATAAATAGATCTTTAAAAGTATTTTTAAAAAAGAACAAATAAAACGATCAAGTACAGTGTTTTTTTTTCTTTGTTTCTGTCCATCATGAATAATTAAATTTAATCCGGTTAAAATATATTTTAAAACTTTCAATAAAATAATGCAAATATAAAGGACAGGTTACAACATATATTCGTTTCACAGGTTGAAATCATCAGTCAATTGAAGCTAGACCACCATGGAAAACCTTGAAGCACTGGAGTTCAACCTGGTCTGTTGTGAGATATTAGCTCACTGAAGACAATGGTGTTCGGTGGCGCAACTTCGTGGATTGGTTGAAGTTAGACATTAACACCGTTGGATGCCGGCCCAGTGGTCTAATGGTTAAGTGCTCACGCGCGAAGCCACTAGGTCTTGGGTTCGAATCCCGCGGTGGCGGGTTCGTGGATGCACACTGCTGAGGAGTCCCATACTAGGACGAAACGGACGTCCAGTGCTTTCAGGTTATCCATGGTGGTCTAGCTTCAATTGACTCATGATTTCAACCTGTGAAATTTCTTAAAAATATCCACAAAACTCATTCTGATATATTCGTTTGTCAAGAGAATTGAAATTATGTTCAATATTTTAATTATATCTCATTTATAGTGAATAATAATGAAGCAAATAAATAATCAGTTCAAACATCTATGTCCATCATACTATGATAATTTAGATTAGTAAATTATAATTGAACATTTTATCTTATAGGCAGACGGTGTTCAATTGATTCAGTCTAATTTCTTAAACATTTAATGACAAGAAAAACTGCATAAACGATAACAGGTTAGTTCAAATCTGTATTGGTTGCTTGAATTTTCCCATGGACGTTCAGGACTGCAGTTGATCAGACTCTTATTGGCATATGCGCATACCATGAAGATTGCTTCGATATTGAGTTCAGTCACAAGCATTATAAGCTGAGATAATGGTGGCTAGCAGTGGAATTCAGGACGCGCATTTCGTCTCATTCGGGACTCATCAGCCGGTTCTCTTGAGAGCTACCGTTACTTTGGTTGTTCGGGGCTTGAATCTTTTAGAATACACTTTCGATTGACGGCGTTTCTGACTTTTGCCATGACTTTCTTCGTGTCGTTTTTTGGAACACGTAGTACAACGATGATTTTTAAACGGACAAAACCTTTTGAAAAGCCAATGGCCACATAACCAGTATGGGGATGATGGTTTGCCGCTGTCATTACGATACTTCTGCGTGCTAGAACCCTGTAAGACTTTTCTCTTGACTGCATTGACGTGATAAAACCGGGCACTGCTCTTGACCATTGAGGTTTCATGTTTCAACTTGACTAATCTTTGGCATTCGCTAGCTACTTCCTATAGAGTAATGCTGGGACAATGTTCAAGTTTGTTAAGGATTCTTTTTCAGATATCCTCGGGTGAATGCAGGCTGCAGCCAAAAACAAGGGATTTAAACCGGTCTTCTGTCATGGAAGACAATTTGGATCTCTCACATTCTTCGTTCACAATTCCTGAATGTTTCACCTAGTCATCTCCTGGTTATTTCGTTATCTTCAAGCATTAACAACGGATATTAAATAGAGATGACTGTTCTCCAAAGATGTGAGACAGGGTTTTAATTGTTTCATCAAAATTAAAGGCCCATGAGTTCTTTGAAAGAAAAAAGTTACTATAGCGTTCATGTTCCGTCATCCCAAGTTTTCTTAAAAGTATTCTGACTTTTGAGGCGTCATCCAGTCTACAGAGATCAATATGGAACAGATTTTGATATTTATTGAACCAAAAGTAACACCTACTACACCATCAAAATTAAATTCATGGGTCGCATTAATGACTGAATCAGTATGAGATACTTGTAATTCACCAGAAGCTGGATTTTGCTGGGACAAGCACATTTTCTGCATAAGGGCTTTCATGATTCTGATTTGTGACTGTTCAAACCGCTTCTCTTGATGCTTCGTATAGGTATCTAGTTGCTCCAAAGAAATGTTCATTATGGTTTTCCCCGACGCCCCTGATAAGTGTTCTAATTGAACGCTAGATTTGGTTCACAAGCTCTTCTAGTAACCCCCAGACTTAATCTACACAGCGACTTGAACACGAGAGAAAAGGCGTGAAATATGGAAGAAATGCTTCATTCCAATGTTCGTTTATGCACAGAAAATCCAGGGCCTCATAGTATTTTCGATGGCCTTGGGTTTCCGGAAAGTTCTGAAACGCTACTAAACATTGTAGCAACATAGGTAATAACCCAATGAAAAACTCGACATGTGACGACTCACTTTCTAGATGTTTCGCGCAAAACATCTAAGATAAGATAAGATGCTTCTCAGCGTTTTCAAAGCCTTTTTTGGCTTTTTTCGAGTTTTCTGTATCTCACCAAAACAAACATTTTGTTACGATAGCAACCAAAGACAATTTTTCTGAATCCATTTAATTATTAATCACCGAAATAGTGAATTACTGATGAAAAGCTCAAGAGATATCAAATGTAGATGTTTCCACAAAGATTGCAAGTTGACAATAGTCCCGACTTTGTACCACAATGAAACTGTCTTCTCCAATGAGTTATCTTTATTTACAGTCCATAATATTGTAGGAATTTTTCAAGAACTATTATTAGGTCAGTTCATATACGTACTGATCAGTAATTGAACAAACTTTGTCAAAAATAAATATTTGAACAAATTACACAAAAAATAAAATGAGATATAATTTAGTTTCTAATTTAAGATAACACAGTAAGACTTTAGTAACTCAAGCATTTGATTTTTAACCATTAAACCATAAATTCTAATTCCCTTGTATTCATTTTATCTCAGAAAATTGGACAGCATCATTATAATCATCGCTTGAAGTAAAGTAGGATCCAAAAGCCAATGATTTAAACCCAGACTTTGATTATTGAATTGGATAAATAATAACATGAAATAGTGAAACATGATAGAAATGTAATCAAGTTACAATAAATTCGTAACTATAAAAAAATTAATAAATGTCTAACTATAATTAATTTACATTATAGCATAAATACACGCAATGAATGGATACAGTTCGATGTTTAATCGTCCATTTACAAAAAAAACAAGACAACAATATGCATATGTAAAAGAAATATATGAAAAGCTTATTGGATGTGATGTTAACAATGTAAGAAAAACACTTATCCGATATCATTATGCTGTATAATAAGAGTATTCATTACTAACAAGGAAAAATAAATTAACGAAATACTTGCAAATATTATACATGCCTAACAATGAGGAAAAAAAATCGAGAGTTATGTAACTAATTTGCATCAAAATGTATTTATGAATTCATTTATATAATTGATTTGTAAGTTATTTACCAGTTATAGGCTTATGCATTAGACATTGAACTACACTGTGTATCTGAATTCTATTCGGGTGGCAAAATTCAATTACGTGGATCGGGATTTAAATTTGTAACCTACTAGTCGAAAGTCGAGTACAATAATCAATGACATATTGCATCAAACGTTGCTTTTCAGATTACTGGTCATATGGTTGGATCCGCGGAAAAGTAATGGAGAGGAATGGAGTAGGAATATGGCTGTCTTTAGCACAGTTAAGCAAACGAGCACAATAAAACAATCACTGGTACAATTGGTTATAATAATAATTGTTTCAATTAAATCAATCGCGTTCTCTTGGTAAAAGTAGGTCACTACAGGAGCGCCCCGCTAGAAAGGGTTTACACTTTCGGTAAGTAGCGGTTTGATTCGTGGGACTGATCGGCAAACGTGCGATTGTAGGACGAGAGGATTGGTGGAAGAGGAAGCGATCATTAACCCTCGAGTTGCCAACGAAGGTTTTTTACGGAGAACGGTACACTAGAATTGAAGAAGACTTCACGTACAGCTACTAAATGGTCCCCGGGTAGAGATTCGAGAGCGAAAGCATACTTTTGCTTTTGGCTCCTAATGCGGCGAGACTCTAATGCAGCGAACCAGACCTCTCGGTCATGGGGGATAAATGATACAGGTAGAAAACGGATGGCCTGTACGTTAGAGTCTATGATATTAATACTAGTCTTATCGTTATCCGTCATGTCGAGTAAATTATATATTAAAAATTAACATGAAAATACACAACAGACGTGGATAGATAAACAATAGACTCACCAAATTGACTTCTTTGGAAGATTTGACCAGAGATTAAGGCGTGTTCCAGAATTCGGCTTACCAGTTGTAGTGTGGTGTCGAGTCGAAGTTGACTATGAGAACCACTACAGGGAAACGCGTACCAAATAAATCTAGTTACGTTCAATCTTCGCCTTCTGATTTATTTGGTACGCGTTTCCCTGTAGTGGTGCTCATAGTCAAACTCGACTCGACACCACCACAACGGTCTCGAAAACTAAGACGTGTGTGGGTACACCCGTCCCTGTCACCGTGAGCCGAAGAATGACCGGTGTCCTTGTCTATATTAGGACGTGCCGCTGAGGAAACTACATAGCTGTCTCTGTTATTAGTCCTCGCTAAAATCTTGTCTGCCATGAGTGCGACCTGATGAAGTGGCGCACCCTCGAGCAGAGCCGTCACGGTTGGCTGAATATAAGCCGGTAATGACTCGAGCCATAGTTCTTTAACTATTTCCGAGTCGACTGCTGTAGGTCCTGCAAGGGATTGTAGACGCGTGAGGTGATGGCTTGGTTTAGCATCACCCAAAGAGTGACGTGCTGACAATGTCCTCAGTATTTCTGTTGTAACGGGTGGATTGCAGTTTAGATGGAGTATCGTATTTATCGATGGAATCAGTGACACGTAAAACACGTAATGAACGGCCTAGGGTTCTGATTGGTCCCACTTCCCTGTCTAGCCCAGCCAATTGAGTCCAGAACGCGAGTCTTAGCCTCTGAGATATGAATCATTATATTTCAGACATACTCTATTTATATACCAACCAACCAGACCACATCGTACCATAAAATAGAAAACAACATTTGTACAATATTTGACAGGTGAAATGAATATCGACCAATGGAAATGTCCATTTAACGTCCAAGGACACCATTAGACTTAACACGATAATTATTGGTATATTCCTCTGCATCCCTAACAGTTCCTCCCTCGATGGGAGGAAATGTCTAAGAATGACCTCTTTGAGCGATTGTTAGCAAGGAACCATGGACCTAGGTTTTGTGTCGATCGCCACTTGTTGACAGGACGCATCTGTAATCCTGAGAGAGCCGATGATCGCTGGGGTATTCGGACCTGTCACTTAGATTCACAGCTTGAGACATAACAACTGAGTTATTCGGTTGCGACTGACCCGCTTTAGGGCTGAAGTATTTATAATTCGTTGATCCCTGAAAAGTGAACGATGTCATGCTTATTTAATCGTTTAGTGCAGACTCAATTCCACATAACGGCTTGTAATGTGGCCCATTTGTTCATGTGACTCAACGTAGTGGACAATATATCAAGTCACTTGGGGTAGTGGACACACTGCGACTCGATAGACAGGATTCTGACGACTGCACAAATTTGACTTAATGTCCAATAGTGTCCCGAAGAAAGAATGTAGTAACTGAATAATGTAATACACAAACTTTTGTAAGTGCTGTTTACGTATCCTTATTGATTATCCGTAACTATTTAAAGTCAAATTTATAATTTACAAGGGGAATTGAACACAAAAATTAAGATTTAGATTCGTCACAAACCCAAACAAAATATCTGTAATTTCAAGTAATGTAACCATTTTTTTAAGGTTTGTCTCACTCATTTTCGTCAATGCGTTAGCATATTTCCTGATGGATAGCGTATATTCCTTAAGTCGATTTTTGTAAAGGCGAATACATTAGTGTGCATTTTCTCTTATTAACAATTATTATGTTTTTATACTGTCCACCGTCAATAATGTTTATAAAAAAAGGATTTTAAGAGTAAAGTAACTGGATAATCATATTTACATACAATTAGTGTAACGAGATGTTTCAAAAAATTGACAAATTACTACCGACATCTACATATTTGTACCGACTTAATTATGTCTGTAAATTTTGTAATTAGAATATACATATTATACTAAACAATTATAAATATTTTGAAGTTTAGCATTTCACGAACCGATATTAGTTAGAAAACTATAGTAAATCAGGAAATATTGAACAAATATTTCATTCTGTCACGCAACTCTTCAGTAGTACACATCCACTACTCCACCGGGATCAAATTTAGGACCTAGATCTTGAGGTGAGAGCTCAAACTTTAAACCACTGAGTTGGCACCTAATGGTTTACATTTGTCTTTTCCGTCACTATCACTAATCTAACTAAGGTCAGTGTATGATATAAGCCACAAAATTCAATTCTACAAACCTCCCAAACTAACAATTATTAATGTTACTTACCTTGAATATACAAATCCACTGATCACAACTGTTATTCCTAACAATGTAACAATATCTTTGCCTAAGTGTTCACTGATTTTATTCACACCACCAGGTAGGCATTCATTAATTAAAACAATTGAGTCAGTAATATTTGGTTTCGATTCAGATGTCAATGTTGGTGATGTTTTGACTTGATTAGTGGTTTGAGTGAATTGATCAGATAATAAACGATTCAACTGATCTGCAACAACAACTAGCGGATGAATAGTAAAATTTCGCTCTTGCTGTTGTACATCGTTCATCTTTTTCACTGTTTGTTTTTGCCACGGAAAATTCGACGATAAAACTGTAATAAATATATATAAAAGGAAAATTGTACCACGTAATTAAAAGATCTAACAGAGGATATATAATTTGAATTAATAAACAACAAACGTCAACGATTTCTCAGGTCAGATGTATTGTGGTTAGTAGTGGAATCCAGGAAACACATTAGGTTTTGTTTGACATTCTATAGTGAATGTACCTAGATCTGCATATTGATGTTCACACTTAGGCTGAGATCCGGTACCTTGTGCTTTAAGTCACAACAGATTATTTATTGAGCTATTGTGTCTAGATAACCGCAAAAATCCAGTCTTGTACGTCAGCGACGAGATTATCCCAATCCTTACTGATAATGATATTAAGATCATAACAGTTGAACACGCTGGTGAATATCTGGCCTCAGTAACTTAGAGGTTAGTGCGTTAGTATCAGTGTCGTGAATTTCAATACAAAATTACAGAGTATCTTGGTAAAAAATAAGAACCATACATTGAATACTTCATTTACAAATTTCCATCATTTGTCCTCCACATTCTGTATGATTCTTTAAATTCATAATTCCTTTCTATTTTCCCTGCTATTCTTTCCAACTCAATCTTCTAGGCATTCTACTGCCAGATTTTCCACTTCTGATTGGTGTTACATACTTCTTTTGTCTGTCGACATACGTAGCATACACCACATTTAGAGCTAAAAGTATTGTGTTCGAGTCCCATTGAGAATAATAACATGGATCCAGGTATATGAGGCTGACAAGTTCATCATGGATTTCACTGCTAAACACAACACATTTTTCCTAAAACAACTTGTGATAAGATGAGTATGCCTATGTAATCCGTACAGGATGTACATATCTCGACAAGAATTGACTGAAAATCAAGTGCTGAATGTGAAAAAAATGATGATAACCTTCAATAAACATCAATGTCGTATATCTCTATCCTTCCAAGCTCTTAGTGTCGCGTTTATTGAAAAACCACACAAGAGACTATCGATCGGAATTCAACTAAGAATAGAGGGTTCTGCTTTTAAGCTTGATGCAATACCTACCACCAGTAACGTCAGGAAATGTATGCAGTGAAGACTGTAGATAAATAGAGAATAATTCTTATAGGTCAACCACATACGCTAGGAAAAGTGAATTGACAATTGGATCCTGTAGGGGAGTTTCAGAAATGCATAAAATATTAACGGGACAAAATATCTAGTCCTAGCTAATGAAGCTTGTTGGCTGACTTAATAAAAGATTAGAACATTGAAACTTCATAGAAGAAATATTAATTAGTGGCGATGTTTCGTTAGTAATATACGACAGACATAAGAAGGAGATTTGAGATGATTAATGTGTTAATTGGTTTATATTACTGTGTATAAGCTCTTAACACAGTCTAACAGTAAACACTGAGTGTTATTATGCAATCATTAAAAGTTAACCTCAGTTAACAACATTAGTTTCTTCTTCGAGTAGTTAAAATATCTTTTTTAATGCTTTGCTGGTTTAATAGAATCCAAATATCATTTCTCATCTACTAAAATAAAATCTAGAAAATCAGCTACCCAGTGTGTATCTGGTTTAGTAAAGTGGATTTATGGCGTAAGAACTAGACATGTTCAAGATATATTTGTATTATGAACACGTAAAGTATTCAGAAAAACATGAACACCTATACCTCCACATATGAGGAACGATAGACAATATTTAAATGACTGAAAGAACCACAATATCATTATTCTGAGTTTATTCTTTCACTATATTCACAAGAACAAACTGCCTACTTCTGAAATCAGATGATACGACATATATACGTATATCTATATATCTATCTATCTATTTAATTTAATCTGGCCAATTTTATGGATTATTATTCTGGATTTATAATTGTAGAACCTGATGAGAAACTATTGAAAAGAATATTCTTCGTTCATACAATTGTGTTTTAATTGTATAAATGTAAAGCTTGGTGGCCATTAATAACTGAAATATTTAAAACACTGGTTGCATAAGATTAAATCCGTGAACCAGTTTACAGAGATACTAACAATATACCAAGTATCTAAATAATGTCGAAATAAAGGTGTGTTGATCAAATGAAAAAAGCGCTACTTTATGTGTATTAAAAAGTTATCTATCCTAAAACATTGAATGGTTGATAATCAAAGCATCTAAAACGAAATGCAACCCCGACCTATGTGGATAATGACTATTAACAGAAGTTATAAACATTCATTAATTTTACATAATTTTTTTTCAGTAACAACCATATGAAACGTAAGACAACATTCCCACAGAACCAGTTAAACTCAGTGACTGCCTCCTCGAGAAATACATGGTGAAACATGTGAATTTATAAGGTCAACAATTTAATATTAACAAAACAATAGCAGAAAAATGTGATGTAATTTGAAAATTCAAACAATAGGATGGCTATTATAGTATGTTCTGAAAAGTATTGAGATTGAAGTTTTGTATAACGAATTGTAGTTAGACAAGAAATCACTGAGAGTTGGGAAGAAATGGACAGTTGTTTCGTTTTAGTATGCTACTCTCCAGCAGTGTCTACCAACGGTTTAACTGAAGATTGAATCCAGGACCATCAGATCTCGTGGCGAATTTTGTGAATATGCTGATCGGTAGAAAGTAAAACGTTAGGGACCAACCAAAAATCTACTTAACTATCTGGTTCTGATAATACAACTAAATAACGTCTGACAATTACTGAAATTCAAGAGGTGTTTATTTAAAAGATCTCAATTCATAATGAAAACTGGCCCACACAAAAACAAAACATGAAAATATGAAATTCTTGGATTTCGTTTAACTCACTTCTTGGTTGACTGCCTAAAGCTGACCATGTTAGAAAAGCGACAAATGCAGATGTGATTGCACCTGGTAACCACATTTGACCTTTTCTTACTAAAATCCAAAACATGTTTATAAAAAGCAATCAACTACTAATAAATAGTTAGTAATATACGCATTCCAAAACATTCCTTAAAGGATCAGAATTTCATGTCAACAAGATATGAATGTCGTTTCGTTAAATATGTAATCATCCTTGTACATTAGGATGCAAAACATGGATTTGTAGTACGAAGACTAAGTTTATATTATATCCAGTGTGTGGTTATCACACTGTAAAATTATGTAGGATTGATTCAGTCTGGCATCAAATTGACATTGCAGGGAAAAGAATAAGAGATCAATCTTGAGAAATACGCAATTGTATCATTACGATCCAGACAGATTATTTGAAAGACCTAATGGATTATTTCTGGAATGTAATTCTATGTTCATTGAGGTATTCAACTAGAGTAAGCAGAAATACATACTGTGTTATTTTTTAGCCGTCAATTTTTGACTTCATGTAATTTCACCATTATGTTTATCAGTGATACAAAAATAGATTAGTTAAGTGTTGTTTAAAATATCCAACCACATAGTTGGAATGAAAAAGGAAAGATTCTAATTTTTCATGTGAAGTACATATCAATCCGGTACATTATTTCCTGTCGAGTAATCCTTCAACCAGTGCAATTTATTTAAATTGACAAAAGTGAATTGAAAAGAAGATGAATTACAAGACACTGATACAGTAGAAAAAGTAAGGAATCTTAGTAAAGTTTGTGGAAACTGTTAAATTACATCATGTATTGATACTAATTAAACACCCAGAAGAAATCTGATGAAATTATTGAACAGCTTTTTAGACCTAGTATGAAACTTCATGCCAGCGCGCACCTATGACGCCGGAGGAGATCAAATCTACAGCATTCAGATCACATAGAGCTCTTAACTTTCAGACCGCTGAGTTAGCAATCAATAATGTACACCTCTAACTTTAATAAATAAAATAATATTGTATAGCCATCAAAAAATGACATTGGTGAGTATTTTCTCGACATAGGTGGACTCCATTAGTCGCGGGTTCGGTTTGAGCCCTATATTAAGATGAAACAGATGTCCAGAGCTTTCTATTTTTAAATGGTTATCTAGTAAAGAACAGTCTGTAATATAAACCATAATGCTCTACAATTTCGACAAACTCCTAGTGCTAACATAAGCAATAAGTTTACTAGCTACCTTTTATAAGATAGTTTTTAGCATCAAACTACAATCTGTGGGCTTGATAAATATTATAATAATATAACTAATTTACCTGGTACATGTTTACTCAGTCGTCAACTATGAAAGTCACAATTTTTCTGAGATCTAGTGATACTTACCAATTGGTTGCCTAAGCCAAAATAGATGGAATAGGAATTAAACTTGCAATAAGTAACTGTTGCAGTATTTACTGAATGTACACATCCAAACGTTGTATTTTTCACCAACATATATCTATTAAAATATTATTCAGAATGTTTCTGTGTAAACATACTCATAATATTGATTTATCGAACGATTATTTTATTGTTTATTTATATAATCCTAATTAAAAACTTTATTTTCATTCATTAATTATTGTCATAGTGTCTATGTGTTCACAATAAATACCAGTCAGCTAATTAAAAATGATACTCAGTTTTTAGACTGAAAATATTGGATGTTTACTATGATTATGTAACTCATTTATACATTTATATATGCATGAGTCATGTATGAATCGGAAGTTGGAACAAGAATTGTGACCACTTGTTCAGTTTCCTACTATTACGATTGGAAGTCCATGAGAGATAGAGGAAATACTAGAGCTTATGAATATGAATTCATTGGTAAAGTAAATGATAATCACACAGTCGAACTTTGTTTATTTCATAAAAAGAAACGTGTAATTCATAGGCATATGAGTTAAATAAAGTTTCACATAAAATAGTCTGTACTTTGATAATCAACAATAAGAACCCGACAAAGTAACAGTTACCAACTAGTAGTAATCAATTTGTGAGAAAACATGAGTCCAACAGAAGAACAGTCAAATTCTGACTAGTTCAATGTTAAAATCTCTGATTATGATACTGGGTCCGAACCCTAGGGACAAGTTTTGTCGACTAGCGCAAAACCTAGATACAAGACTTCTTGTTAATCATCATGATGTGAACAGAGAAATAAAGAAGCCATGACAAATAACGGAAGCTATTTTTGGGAACACTATTTCTCTTAACCCAGAGTTCGTAAAATACTAACATTTGTTTTTGTCATAAGTTGTTCTATAAACCATAAACTTTCGTTTGATGAATGCTTCACCGACATGCCCTTTACTATTCCAAAGCTATTGTGATTTAAAAATGACCTTATGTACTCTATTTTTTCTACTCAGTTTAGACATGGTGTATTTTCCTAGTCGTTTGTGCGTTGTTGTCGTGTTAGTCATCTACTTATTCATGTATCCTTTAACACTAATTTGAATAGGGAATCAGGAATAAATCTGGTAGTGTGCCAGTTGACTCATGGTCTCTCTCTCACTTGTAAACCAATCAGGTGACAGGATAGTTTTCGTCTCTCTGCCCTAGGCCATTAGCCTCGATTAGGATCCACTCATTTTTAGACTCAAGCTTAAACCAGTTGGCCTTTCGTGTCAAGGCCTTAACCTAGATTGGGACATATCCTCTCCGATATATTATTGGGTGAATAGATGAAGGATGTAACATATCGTGAACCACTTAATAAAACGTTTTTAACATAAGAATATGATGCATGAAGTAAAAATGAGTAAGCTACTTTGATCTGGACAACAGCATGAGAATACATGATAAATGGTACTTGTTATTGTTAAATACATATTTTAATGAATTTTTTATGGCCGTATCGTAACCATCCACCCCCAAATCACTTTTTATTGCAAACAAAGATTAAACGGGAAATCACTGAAATCAAGCAGAGTCGGTTTATTTAAATCATTGTACTTTTGTTAAAGACACAAAAGTTAAGGAATGATTTATGGTAATTTTAATTGAAAAGTTTAATTTAAAAAGAACTTTTTAAATAGGCTTTTTTTCAGTTGGAATGAATAAGTGTGTTAATAAAGGCTAATTATGGTTTGGGAATTTCAGATTATCTACTACGTCCACCATTTTGTAAAAATGCCCATCAAACTCCTGATGAGCATATAAACCTCCAAAAGTCCATGTATCTTGCTTAATTATTTAAAGTTGTTTAAAATCTGAAGTACTACTAATTCATTTAGTAGTTGTCTAGTTATTATTAGTTTAGAAGATAATGAACTCATTAGTACAAACCATCTGACTGAGTTCAATACGACTGATACTTCGACAATTTATCCTGACCTACTACTAATGCTAAAATCTCTTATATTTGAAAACCGAACAGAAAAAGAGAAAGGAGATTGCTATCCATACGATTTGGAACACAATATCAACAAACAATAATTATTATTCAACAACTAAGAAACATTTTCTTGAAATAAAATTCTTTTAATTGAAATCATGAACCGATTGATGTTAGACCACCATTGAAAACCTGGAAGCACTGGACGGCCGTTTCGTCCTATTGTGGGACTCGGTCGTCCAGTGCTCCTAGGTTTTCAATGGTGGTCTAGCATCAATCGGTTCATGATTTCAATCAAAAACTTGACAATCTCCACAACCCTTAAACAATCCAAGTATTTTTTATAAAAAAATAATTCTTTAAAACCAATAAAAATAATCTTGTGTAAAACGTTGTTTTCACTAGTAACTGGATTTACTCAAGAAATTTAACACTTTAATATTGATAATTTACAAGAAACTGTATTATACTACTATCAAACAATTCTTTTCTACTTCATATTGCTTATCAATCATTTCATAACATAAACTTTGTACGCTTCTGAACGATTTAAAATCAGGATTAATAAGGTTTGAAAAGATTAGATTCAAAAAATTATTCATGTTTTTTGTTGATAATTGGAGAAAAACTAACATACAAAGTGTATGATTTCAAACAAACACACATTTGAAGTTGTCACAAGACGATCACGTAATTGTGCACAGAGGCAGAGGGAGATTAAATCACGCGCAGAATTCAATATGTAGAATTATAAGAGGAGAGATATTTTTTTAAAAATTAGTACCAGTTGGCTTTCTTTCATTGACTTGTCGGAATTAATGATATATCATCTAGTCATCAGTCTAACAACACTTTAAATAACTCAATTACTAACACGTATGACCTTGTTGTGTGTTACAGAAGAACTTAATCTGAAGACTGAAAAGCACCGGACAGTTGCTTCGTGTGAATTTAAGACCTTAAAGTAGTATGTATCTCCACAACCCTATATAGGATTGAATTCAAGACTTTCAAATTTTATGATAAGCCGGAAATGGTGGGTCACAATCTCAATAAATCGGAATCAAATGGTCTTCATATTTTCAACTATTCGATGTTCCATGAATTACCAATGTATCTATCTTTCGTTGATATCAGTTTATGTTGACTAACCTATAAATTATTCTAACCACACAAAAACATATTTTTCAAATAACAATATCTAATCCTTTTATAATGGATTAGAACTCTCACTCCATCGAATCCTAGCTGTGATCATCAGATTATTTTAATTCCACGGTTAATATCATTTCTTAGTTTGATCCTCTGGCTTAATTATTAAAAGCCCTGACAAGTATATGTGTGACCAGATTGTTCGAAATGTGTAGCGCAAATATATCACATTTTTCAGATAAACTCCGTCTTCTCATTGTCCTATCGAAATCTTTAGTTTACTTTTTTCCTTTTTCAGACTTTTCTAACATACGATACTCTGTACTGACCACCCTTCAGCACACACCGTACTTCTAAACTAGACCCAAACTTACAAAAGACTAAGACGCGACTTATTTTTCACTTAATTTTGAATGCTAGAACATAATAAAATAAATGAAATGTCAACATGTGAGAACCCATTAATAAAATTTTGTAATTTCTAGTTTATATGTAGGACTGTGATTCAACTGTCTTCGTTATAATATATATAAATC